ATACATGAAAGGACCATCTGTGAGCAAAAGGTACGTTCCTATGTTCAGCATCTCCCAGTTTTCCTCCTTGTTTACTGTCTGTATGGAGTGGTGGGGGAGTTCAGCAAGACAAGCTCTCATTTAAATACTGGGATGGTTAACCACTGAGAAACATTCTTGCAGAGTTACTGCAACACGCAAAGCTCTGCAGAAGCTTTAACACTTTTGAGTGTTGCTTGAAATAACAGCCTTCCTACTTCTTCTTAGGGAGAGAGAAGAGTTTGACGAAGAAATTCTGGAGAGGAAAAGGCTTCAGGCTGAGCTGATGGCTGCAGACAGCGTGTGAGTGGCAGCAAATGCTTTCCCAATTACACCCCAGCCTCGTGTACATCTCCAAAGCTGTGGCTGTGGCAGTGCTGTATTCCCACCACACGCAGCTGTACCTTCAGTCCTTGTTCTCACCTCTGTGCTGCTGGAAGTGCTGTGAGCTGAGTGTGTGTGCTGCTGCCCTTTATATGGACTGAGTGGGAAAGAAGCCCCTGTTGTCCTCAGAAGAACAGAGGCTGGTGTTGTGGAGCCAAAGGCTGGGGCAGCGTTGGCTCTTTTCCTTTATCTGTTATTAAAGGTGTGGGGGAATAAAATTGGTTCTGAGTGAAGCAAACTCATTCCTGGCTCTTTGTGGTGGTGGAAACCAATGGCTGTGTGTGTGCTCAAAAAGAAAAAGATCTTTTGGTGGTTAGTTTTTTTTTTTCCTTCTTAAAAGCAGCCCTATTTTGCAGCCTGCCTTTAGATAATGTTTTCCAGGAATGCTTTCAGTTGTGTTTCTTTATCTGATTTGTACTTGAGCACCACTCCAGCTGAAGTTCAATGTGCTGCAGCTGCGTGTTAGCAGTTACAGAATGCTTAATGAGAGCAGTACAAAGAAAGGCTGATGCTTGTCCAATAAACTCGAAATTAGAAGTAAAATGGGATTGTGACGAGATGAAAAAAATCGCCGTTCGGCTCTGACGCCTCCAAAACGTTCTGCCGAAACCCGGGATCGAACCAGGGACCTTTAGATCTTCAGTCTAACGCTCTCCCAACTGAGCTATTTCGGCTGCGTGACAGCAGCGGCCCCCCACTTCCTGTCAGCTGACTCCGCTGTTGGGGGGAGGGTTGGGGGGGCTGCAGGGGGGTCCGCGCGGGGCGGAGGAGGCGGTCCGTTCCCGCACCGCTCCGTCCGTTCCCGCAGCGCCCCGCCCGCCCGCATTCCCACAGCGGCGGTCGCAGGGCGGCGCCGGCAGTGCGGTCTCTGTGGCGCAATCGGTTAGCGCGTTCGGCTGTTAACCGAAAGGTTGGTGGTTCGAGCCCACCCAGGGACGGACGCTTAGCTTTTGTTTCTCTTTTTTTTTTTTTTTTTTAATATATGCTCGGAGCGGGCGCTGCTCTCGGGGCCGCACCGGAACCGCGGATACGCAGCCGCCGTTCTCCTTCTCTTTGCCGCTGCCCCGCGCCCAGCGGAACTCCCCGCGTCGCCTCCGTTTCCCACCGGCGCGTTGAAGCAGCGGACCGCGCGCTGCCGGAACGTTGAGTGCGGTGCACCGCGGCCAGAGGTCCCCTGAAGGGCTGCGGGACATGGCGGCGCTGCGCCGTGAGCGGGGCCGGGGGGCGGCGGGGAGCGGGGCGAGGCCGTGCGGGACTGCGGGCGGGATTGGGCCGGGGTGCGGGATGTCGGGGATCCTGGGCGGCAGCTCCGGGCTCAGCTCCGGGCTGGGACGCGCTGAATGGCGCCGGCTGCGTCCCCCAACCCCGGCCGGGGCTGAGCTCTGCGCGCTCCCCTCGCTGAGCTCCCTGTGCTCTCCTTGCAGGTCTCGGCCTCCCGCGGTGCGCCGTGCTGGGCTGGCGGTGAGCGGGGCCGGGGGGGTCTTGGGGAGGGGGGGGGCTGAGGGTAAAAGATGGGGCTCCACGGGGGTCCCGTTTCCCCGGCTCTGGGCGAATCGCTTTTGTTCTGCGTCGTCGTCGTGGGTGAGGTTTGGTGGCAGTGGCTCTCATTCCTGCAGGCCCAGCACGGTGACATCCCCTCCTGCTCAGCTGCTCCATCAGACATCTGCAGTCCAACATGCAGACAGGTAACCCACCGGGCTCCTCTCACAGGGTGAGGCCCCACTGCTGCTGGGAAGAAGTAGAAGGTCTTTGTTGGGTTCCCTGGGAAGTGACATCTTGATGCTAATGCTTGCATTCCGTAACTGAGAGCGACCTGTTTGTTCTCAGCTCCATCCAAGTGCAGCCAAAGAGCTCAGCTGTTGTCCCGAAAAAGTCCTACGTCCCCACAAGCAGGGGGGAATATGTCATCACCAAACTGGATGACCTGATCAACTGGGCACGGAGGGTGAGTTGCTCTGTCAGTCACCTGCGTGGGGTCTCTGCTTTCAGTGTGCCCCCCCCCAACCCCTAGACATGAGCCAGCAGTGTGCGCTTGCAGCCCAGAAGACCAACTTCATCCTGGGCTGCATTAAAAGAGGAGTGGCCAGCAGGGAGAGGGAGGTGATTGTCCCCCTCTACTCGGCTCTTGTGAGGCCCTATCTGCAGCACTGCGTCCAGGTTTGGGGCCCACAGGACAAAAAAGATGCAGAGCTCTTGGAATGGGTCCAGAGCAAGGTCACTAAGATGATCAGAGGGCTGGAGCACCTCTCCTATAAGGAAAGGTTGAGGGAACTGGGTTTGTTTAACTTGGAGGCGAGAAGGCTCTGGGGAGACCTCATTATGGCTTTCTGATACCTGTATAAACAGGAGGGGGAACGGCTGCTTACAAGGGTGGATAGTGATAGGACAAGGGGGAATGGTTTTAAACTGGAACAGGGGAGGTTTAGGTTGCATATTAGGAGGAAATTTTTCACACAGAGGGTGGTGATGCACTGGAACAGGTTGCCCAAGGAGGCTGTGGATGCCCCATCCCTGCAGGCATTCAAGGCCAGGCTGGATGTGGCTCTGGGCAGCCTGGTCTGTTGGTTGGTGACCCTGCACATAGCAGGGGGTTGGAACTGGATGAGCATTGTGCTCCTTTTCAACTCAGGCCATTCTGTGATTCTGTGACCCCTCTCTCTCCACTGCAGAGCTCCCTGTGGCCGATGACGTTTGGCCTGGCATGCTGTGCTGTGGAGATGATGCACATGGCAGCTCCACGCTACGACATGGACCGCTTTGGGGTGGTGTTCCGAGCGAGCCCCCGCCAAGCTGATGTCATGATTGTGGCTGGCACCCTGACAAACAAAATGGCTCCAGCCCTGCGAAAGGTATGGGGGCAGGTAGGTGCCTCCAAGGTAGCTGTGTGTGGATGGAGAGCACTCTGATCTGTCTGTGTCCTGCAGGTCTACGACCAGATGCCAGAGCCTCGCTATGTGGTCTCCATGGGAAGGTAACAGCCTTAGGTTGGGTGGGGGAAACCATGTGGCTGAGTGGGAGGGACCTCCATCCGAGGCTTTGATATTGAACTAAATAAACTAAATAAAATTTTCTTCTTGGTTAGGAGAGTATTTTGTCAGATCCCTCTGAACTGCTGGCTCTTTCCAATGAAAGATTCTATTGGTTTATTTCTGGCTGTCTCTGTAGGCTTATCTACGTTCAAAATCTCAGAGTTTGCTTTTGGACTTAACGTTTCCGCTGTGCAGCATCAAATATGGGGTCTGTGGATCTCTGGTTCTGAAGCCACAGTGTTGGCACAGCAGAACTGATGCCTTCACCCGGTGCTGCTGGGTCTGAGTGCAGCTGAACCCAAGGATGGATGGGACAGAATGAGTTTTAGAAACATTCTCTGTGGATGTGACAAAAAAAAAAAGAGGTTTTGCAGTGTGCAGAAGGGGCTCCTGCATATCTGCTTTGCAAGAGCTGTGGAAGTAGTTCAGTTTGGTTTGATTCAGCTCAGAACACACACGCAGCCTGCCTCCCAGCCAGGTCCCATGAGTGGCACGCAGTTGTGTTCAAACTGAACCTCCACACTGCAAATCCCAGCACTCAGTCCCTATGACATCCATAACCACCTCCTACCCTCGGGTGCCGGGTTAATGTTTTCCTTTCCCTCTGCTAATGTTTCACCGTGGGTCCCGAGCTGTGCTTAACCAACACCTTTTGCAGCTGTGCCAATGGTGGGGGTTATTACCACTACTCCTACTCTGTGGTGAGGGGCTGTGACCGCATCGTACCGGTGGACATCTACGTGCCAGGTAGGAGAGCAGCCACTGTGCTGACTTGGAGCAGGGCTGGCATGAAGTTGGTGATGTTTCCCACCTCTTTCCCCCTTAGGTTGCCCACCCACTGCTGAAGCTTTGCTGTACGGAATCTTGCAGCTTCAGAAAAAAATCAAACGAGAGAAGAAGATCCAGATCTGGTATAGGAAATAGGTTCTTATTTATGACCTCCCACTCACTGCCTGCGGCACCTACTTGCTTTCTACGCACAAAAATATCTGTTCTCACAGGCCTTCCAATAAAACTGTACGTGGTTAAGATGCTGCCCTGTCTTTAATATATTGCTCTTATCTCCAGAGTGTCTGCTTGTTTAAAAAATTCATCACGAGAAGCAGTGACCTGAGTGAAGTAAATGCCTGGGAGAAGGGAAGCATGAAACCTTGGGTTGCTCTTTGGCTTCGTTAGGAGCTGCTGAGTGTGGTTCAGGAGGCCTGAAGTCCTTTGGCTCAGGTAGAACACGCAGCTCAGCTGGGTTGTGCAGGATTTGTTTTCCTTTTCACAACGAAAGCAGCTCAGGCATTGGGTCCTCCCCCTGCTGCAGGCTGTTGTCAGTGCTGGGGTTCTTTATGGGACCAGCACACAGCCAGGGGAACCCCGTGGTCTCCCTGAGCTCAGCTCTACCCGCTTGTTTCTTAATTCCTACAAGGGATGGAGCACATCTTGATGTGTACAGCAGCCAGAATTGCGTTGGTCTGGCAGTGGATGGAACCCCTGTGCTGTGCACCCAGGACAAGGAATGGTGTGCAGTTACAGGTGTGCTTCAAAAGGCAAAAATAAATTGCTCAGAAATAGCCATTGTGTATTTCAGTCTGATTTAATGGATTTTATCCCTTCTGGGTAGAGAGGGGGGACGTCATTTATGCACTATTGAGCTGTGTGAGGTGGTAAGAATCAGAGCTTATTAAAACAGGCATTAGCCAAAAATATGAGGGAACTTTCACTGGAAACTCATCCAGTTCTAAGAAACGTGCCTCAAACTGCCCCCATCTTTCCCATTCCTCCCACCTGGCCTGGCACGTTTGGCTTCTGCATGGAAACGGACCCCCAGTTTAACAAACAATTGTGTTTTTAGAGTAAATGCCAGCGTGAGCCCCTCTGGCTCAACACTGCACTGCGGGTTTGCAGCTGCAGGGACCTCTTTGCTCAGTGCTTCACCACACGGGGGGTGATCATCCGAGGGAAGGAGTAATAGCGGCACTCCTGGGGGGGCACCAACTCCATCACTGCCGTGCTGATGTTCTCCCTCCTGAAGCCAGCCTCCAGCAGCTGTGCCACCTGAGTCTCCTGCAAGAGAGAACAGGAGGGAACCACCCAGCCGTGGTCTCAGCCATCTGTGATGCTGCTGGGCCAGGGGGAGGCTGTGATGCTTCCACCCCCCCACCCCAAGCTCTCAGCCCTGCAGGTACCCACAGGAGCGGTCCGTGCTCCTGGACCCCCAGCTGCTCACCTCAAACATCTTCTCTATGTCGCTGTATTTGCCCTTCAGCAGCTCCCCCCACGAGGTGAGGTTGCAGTAGGTGAGGACCCCCCCGGGCCGCAGCAGGCGGAAGGCATGGTCCTGCATTGGGGTGGGAGGGGGGGGGTGGTCAGAGGCACCAGCTTCCTCACCTCCCACCCCACTCCTGCTGCCCTACCTTGATGAAGGCAAACTGGTGTGTGTGCCAGGTCTGTGCAGACAGCGGGTAGGTGTCGTATAGGATTCCTGCACAGGGAAAGCAGCAGGCATCTGGGAGAGGCCCCGTGGCACCATGGGGTTCCCCCTTCACTGCCATGTTCTGATTTGTCCCCTTTATATTTGCTCCCCCTTTCCTCCATGCCTCTGGACCCCCATCCTCTCCCACTCCTAGGGGTCAATGCCTGCACCCCCCCGGTGTGTTACCAGAGAAGTGCCCATCCGGCAGCGTTGGCACCACATCCTCCCACAGCCCCTTCAGTGGCACCACCTGTGGGGGGGAACAGGACAGGAGGGGGCTCAGCCCCACACCTAGAATAGCACAGCACGGCATGGCACAGCATGGCACGGCGCAGCATGGCATGGCACAGGTTGGCACGGCACAGCATGGCATGGCACAGCACAGCACTGCATGGCACAGCATGGCACGGCACAGCACGGCACAGCATGGCACAGCATGGCACGGCATGGCATGGCACAGGTTGGCACAGCACAGTATGGCACGGCATAGCATGGCACAGCACGGCATGGCATAGCATGACATGGCACAGCATGGCACAGCATGGCACAGCACAGCACAGCACAGCATGGCATGGCACAGGTTGGCACGGCACAGTATGGCATGGCACAGCATGGCACAGCATGGCACAGCATGGCACAGCACTGCATGGCACAGCATGGCACAGCACAGCACGGCATGGCACAGCATGGCATAGCACAGCACAGCACGGCATGGCACAGCATGGCACAGCACAGCACGGCATGGCACAGCATGGCACAGCACGGCATGGCACAGCATGGCACAGCACAGCACGGCATGGCACAGCATGGCATGGCACAGCACGGCATGGCACAGCATGGCACAGCCCAACGTAGCTCAACACAGCACAGACCTTGTGTGGCTGCACCCGTGCCCACTCCTCCAGCCTCTGGAACACGCCGTCGTTGCATTCCACAATCCAATGCTCCTCGATGTTGAACTCCTGCACTTTGGTGGCAGCAATGGCCATGCCAAAGCCCACCTCCAGCACACGGCCACCTGGCAGCAATGAGTTAACACTGGGAGCCTTCCCCTGGCATTTGGCCCCTCCAAAGCCCCTTGAGCCCCAAATAATCCCTTGCCTTCCCCCTCACTCCCAGCCCATTGCAATAGGAATGCACAACCACCTGTAGTAAAGCTGTGACCCCTCAGTTCGGTGCCAGCACTGCAGGCAGGTGGCAGCCCCCCACCCCCACCCCTCTGCCCCTTTCAGGAATACGTCACCACTGACACAACAGCACAAGTGTCACCATTCCCTCCCCCCCCCCCGGGCCACCAATGCCCCCCAATGCCACTCGCTGTCCCCATTACCCCTGGAGGCAGCCACGGTTGCCAGCGAATGCATATAGGGGGTCTCCCAGCGTTCCATCACCGGCTTCCCCAGGATCTCCAGGTGGGTGTCGGGGGCATTGTAGGCAGCTGTAGCCTCCCGCCATGCAGCCTTGCAGTCCTCACCCTCGGTGAAGATGGGAGCTGTGGCTGAGCGGGCACTCATGGCTATGGGAGAAAGTCCAAGGGCTCGCAATGCAGGGGGAGGAGAGGGCTCACAGTGCTGTCCGGCTTTAAATAGCCAGGGCTGGGAAAGAGCTGAGTGTGCACATCCTGCAGGGGCCCCTCTGGGGTGAAAGGGTATCGAGGGGTGGTGCGTGCGTGGGGCTGGGTGCAGGGGGGTGGATGAGAGGTGTGGGGGCTTGGGGAGAGCTGCTGGGGTGTGGGTGGCACTGTGCAGCGTGCATTGTGCGTTGTACTCTGTGCTGTGTGCAGCTGCAGCACCACCGTGGGTTAAAGCTGGGCTGGGCTGATGCATTAGAGGGGCCACAGAGGGAGGGTTCAGTTCTGGGGCTGTGCCCTGTGCTGTGCCACGGGTTGGGGTTATGCACTGTGCTGTGCAGCACGCTGTGCTGGGCTGTGCATCAGGGTTACACCATGCACTGGAGCCAAGCACCAGTGTTACATCAGGCACTGGAGCCACGCACTGGAGCTGTTCTATCTGTTGGAGCCACGCACTGTGGCCATGCCACATACTGGGACCACGCACCAGGGCTGTTCTGCATATTGGACAGTGCACTGGGGTTGCAGTCAGCGCTGCAGCTGCGCTCTGTGGCTGTGCTGTGCACTGGGACATGCACTGGGGCTCTGCTGTGCACCGAGACCACGCAGCAGGAGCGCAGCACACAGCAGGGCTGCACAGCAGGGCCATGCCACGCACTGAGGCCACACACCGGGGCCGCGGTGAGCACCGGAGCTATGCATTGGTGCTGCAAAACGCGCTGGGGGATCGCTATGGGACCGTGCAGTGCAATTGCTCTGTACGCTGGGGTCGCACTGCAGCCATGCAAGGGGGCTGTGCTGAATACCAGAGCACTGGAGATGCGTACCGGCATTGCGCTGCGCATCGATCCACGTATAAACGCCACGGCGATGCCCGCAGCCACGCACCAGGCCCACGGGGCAACGCCATAAAACCCCGCACCACCCCCCTCTCCCCCCAACGCACCGCATGGGCAGCGCACGTGGTGCCCTGGGAGGACCGCCCTTCCCGTCATGCCCCGCGCGCCGCCGCCGCTCTATCCCGCTCTGCCCCGCCTCACTTCCGCCCCTCCCTGGGCGCGGCCGCGGAGACCCCGTAGCGAGGGCAGGTGCGCGCGCAGCGGCGGTTGGCGGCGCTGAGGGAGCGCGAGCGCGCGGCGGGCGGCGGCGGGGGGGGGGCCGGGCCCGGGGGGCGGCCGTTGCGCAGCTCGGGTTGGGGGGGAGGGTGGGGGGGGAAAGAAAGAAAGAAAGAAAAAGAGACGGAAGAAAGAATTGAGCGAATCAACCGAGAGAAAGAAAAGCGAGAATTGGTGATAAAGCCGAGCGACGGCCCAGCGACCTTCCGTTAACGGGGGGGAGAGCCGGGCGCGGCCCCGCGGCCCGCCGAACAGCCGCCATGAACAGCGTGGGAGGCGCCGACGAGATCGGGTGAGCGGCCGTGCGGGCGGTGCTGGGCCGCGCTGGGCCGCGGGGAACGGAGCGGCTCC